ACTGTCCTCTTGCTTGGAAAACACAACCCTCCTATGTGAATACACTTTTTCTGCCCTGGATAACTGATCTCAAGAGTTCTGTCTTCTGAGAAACCTTCCATGACATCCTTCCATATGCATCCTCAATGCTCTCAAGACCAGTGTCCACTGTTTACACAAATTTTGAAGACTTTTCTAATTTGCTTTTTCTAAACAAACTATTTTTAGGACACTCTCGGCTAGACAGACAGATTGTGAGGGAAGCAGAGCACCCCTATATCCACACTCAATTTTCCCAATGATCACCTTTTTACAATAATATAGTAGGATACTTATGATTACTGATTTGTTTTTTTATAACCAAAAGTCCATACTTTTAAGAAATATCTTTAATTTTTGTTTCAGGATTCCATCCAGGGTACTGCATTACATTTAGCTGTCTTGTCTTCATAGCTTTTCTTGGCTAAGACACTTTCTCATACTTTTATTGTTTTCTGTGATCTTGGGAATGTTGAGGAGTACCAATCAGGGATTTTGTAGGATGCTCCTCAGATTGGATTCATCCAACTTTTCTCTCATGATTAAAATTGCCATATTGTTCTCTAAAGTTATATGTAACAATTTATATCCCTGCTGTTTCTTATTGTCATGGAAAAAGCAATGAACAAAATAGGTAAATCCTTGCCACAGTAGACTTCAGATTATAGTTAATCCAATGAAGAAAAAAGACACTGAGAATGAAGCAAATAAATACACAATAATATGTCAAGTAATAAGTGTTAGGAGAGAAAAATCAAGTAACAAATTGAAAATTTATAAAATTGCCCGTTAATCATGACATTGAAGAAAATTCTTTCTAAGGAGAATGTAAATATTTGTTGATTAGAATCCTCACTCAAGTATATCATATAAATGAGATTTATGGGTGATAGTTTTTGAATAGCTACAAATACATTCTTCTTTTCCTGGTAAGATATTGATAGCTTTGATGGATATAACAGTTTTGTATCACTGTCATTTTCTGTTGTTATTTTACTACCTTTTAGTTTCTGGTGCTGCAAATGAAATGCCTAATATTATTCTGATCTTCTTCTTCTACTTTTTTTTTTTTTTTTTTTTTTTTTTTACAGAGAGATGGATAGAGAGTTAGAAACATCAATGAGAGAGAATCATTGATCAACTGCTTCCAACTGCCTTCCCATCCTGGCCTGGTTGCCCACAACTGCCCTCCCTTTTATGGCCTGATTGCCCACAACTACCATCCCTTGCCAGCCATCTTGTGATGGCCATCTTTGACAACATGAGGTGGCCATCTTGTGCGATGACATGAGGGTCAATTTGCATATTACCTCTTTATAAGATAGGATATTTTGATGTTACAAGGTACTACCCATACACTCAGGAAAATGCTTAGGCTAGTTAGAAAAATATAACCTTAGGAGTCAGTCAGAATGATTCATTATGTATCTTTTTGAAAAATACCTAAATGTTCCAAAATGAACATATATAGTTTATAAAATGTAAATTAACAAAGAAAAAAACACTTAAAATTTATATGTTTTTCAAGATTGGGCAAATCTTTCTTACTTGGAAAAATAAATTCAATGTTAAAGGGAGAGTTTTAGGCAAATTCTTATACTTTAATGAAAAATTCTTTTTTTTGTGTGTGTGTGGGTGTAAAGGGTTTTGGTGTGTTGTTGTTTTTGTGTGAGAATATTTAATTTCTACTATCTTAGGAAAGAAGTTTTATTTATTAATTTTAGTGAGTATTGAACCGATTCATAATAATTTACATCTTCCTTCCATTATGTGTTTTGTTAGTATTTGGTTAATATTATAGCTTTAGTTATATGAATACCAATCTCTAAATATTTTTCTCCATGAACACTTGGACTATGTATATTATATTTCTGAATATAGTCATTAAATAAATATAGTCATTATTTTTTTAACTTATGAGTGTTAAATAAATGTTGACTTGAGTGTAATGTTCAAACAGATGAAGATTTTCAGTCATGTGATACATTAGAGAGAACTCAAATAATTTTGTGAAGAGTCCTTATAGAAACTACTTGTAAGAAGGGTTATTGCTTAACAAGAAATTTAAATTTAATTATTACTCTTTACCAACACAAATTCTGGAGTTACATGTAATGGAATTCCATATAATTCCCTGAAGAAATGAACATATGCTAAAATACAGGTTTTTCCAATAAGTAAAGCCCTAGTCTCAGTTGTGATTAACCTGGAAAACTGCCCAGATGTCTTTTTTGGGTAAAGGGGCATGGGGTTATCACAAAGTCCCTCAGCAGTAACTCAAAATGAATGTCCTAATAAGTTATGTGTTAATCTGCCCCAGTTTTCTATATAGTGAAGCTCCTGCTATAGTAAATGTCTGCAGCACTTGTCGGGGTAGGTAAATAATTAGAATAAAAAAGCTTTCCATTGTATAGGTCTGTATGGAGAGCACTGTAGGCAGGTAACAAAAATTATTCACCGACTAGAAATGTCCCCAAATGGAAGCTGGGCTGGTGTGCAGGGTAGAGAACATATTGACCCTCCAAAATGCTCCACAGAAGCCGGGTGCCCATGTGTTAGGAATAAGACACTCGCTTCTCATCCTTGAGCATGACTTTGGACCAGATAGTTGACATCATTCCCTGCAATGGTAAGATTCAGCGAGTCTAGAATTAATGAAAACGACTTGCCTGTACAACACCAAGCAAATAACTTGTCTCAGTGAAGTAGGACTGTGATTGTTTTTAAATCAAATAGCAGATGCACAGCACATGCAGGTGACCACGTGATTCAAGGCAGGCGTGCTAGGGTTCTAAATTGACCCCAAGCTCATTATGAGGGCTACAGCACCATCTGTTTCCTGGGATGTTAGTTATTTTTACGACTGTTGAACTCACCTGACTCTATAAGGGGGTGGACAGATGAAGCCAGTTTTCCCTTGTGGGAATACAGAACATGGTATCGGTGGGTAGCTCTGATTTTTAGAACTGCTGTTAAGTAACTTCCTTCAGGCTTCAAATATGCAAGCCATGGAAGTCACTTTATTACTTTTCATTCTAAACCAGAGGCAACGCAGTGTACATGTAACAAACATTTCTAATGTAACCCACAAACATTTAGTAATGAATCTGCCCAAACTGGAATACAGCCCTGACCTTGTCCGGTAGCACAGTATAAAGTAAAGGACCTGGCTTTGGGAGGTCACAGTAAACTGCCACTGAGACCAGAGGTTCTGTTGCCACAAACGTTCCTGATCAGCTCAGGCACCTACAAGGCCTGGCATAGCATTCCAGCCAGATTGTGTGCAGCCTTAAGGAGTTTGGTAAGGAAGGACACAGGAGCTTACATGCCAGCACTCACAGGGATGGTGGTTGCAGTAGCTCAGGAAACTCCATTCTAAGCATCTACTGGTTAGGCCGCCTGTGAGACAGCGATCCTAGATGATCCCCCAAAGAATATTCAATAGCCTGCAACTCAGTCCCTCCCTGCCCTCATGTCCCCTACCACCCTACACACACACTCACACACACACACACACACACACACACACACACACACACACACACATGGCCAAGAGCAGAGTAAGGTGGACCACAGCCTCCCCTAAGCCAGATTATGCCGCCTGGTAACAAGGCCATCTCAGTCAACGTGGGCACTGGTAAGGAGCAGTAGAAACCAATCCAGCCCCACAGCCCAGAGGCCTGGCTGGAGTCGGGTCCTCTGGGTTGAGGCATCAGCTGGAAGTAAGTAGGAAGCAGCAGCACCTCGGGGGCCTGATGGGGCAGGGCACTAAGGGCTGGGATCATTGAGAATGCCCCAGGATTTTGGGTGGCAAGCTGCCCATTTGCAATTCGGGATTCTCTCTAAACTTTTAAACTGCCTGATTGGCACCAGATGGAGAAACAGGGCATCCTTTTAACACCAGTGCTTTGCCCATGAGTAATATTAAGAGCACCAATTTGATTATTTCGTCAATCATGCATGGAGCCACCACACTGCAGAGGCTTCTCACAAGGGTGGGCTGGATTATGACATAAAACCATGTTGGGACTCCATGGCTCATATTCTGTTCGTATGGACCGGGAGGAAGATATAGAATATTTAAAACCGATTTACAATATTGGAGGAAACGCCACACCTGCTCTCCTCAGTTTGCCATGAGGCATAAATCAGCTCCTACAATTTTAAGTAAAATTCATCCTGGGCCTGGTGCAAGGTCTTCTCAACAGTGCATGCTATTCCATCCATTCGCCAAGCTGGGGAAGCAGGCATAACTGTCAACACTTTAGAAGAGGAGAATGAGGGTGAGTGTGTTAACATTACCTGGTTTTACAAAAGCTGGAGGTGATTTTTCTCTCCAAACTACACTCATGTTTAACTATCTTTGTGGTTTAAAACTTTTCTGGGGTATTTTTGCAGTTTTATATGTAGCTGAAGATAACCCTCAATTTATACACAATGATTGCCTATTTTGTCTCAGAGTTAAGCAGAGATAAAGCCCACTTTCTGTGTTTTATTTAATAAATCACCAGAATCTAGAGAGAAAATAATATTAAGTGAATATATATATATATATATATATATATGAATCAACTCAAACAAAGAAAGCATTTATCTGAATGTATGTGATAAAAGATGAAATAAATTATCTTTTATTTCAGTAAAATTACCATTAGGCTTTGAAAATGGCTAAGAGCTATTATTTATGTACCTACAATATTACATCTAAGTCACATTGAAATGAAAAAAACCTCAGCCCTTCTTTTTCTGTCACAAAGTGAAATGATGCTAACAGAATATTCTTACTTAGTTTAAATTAATACATAGATAAAAATATTGTAAGAATGATATCACAGGATCCAACCAATTTTGTTTACTGTACTATGATAACATACTTTAGAAATTGCACAGTGAAAGCTTTTCAATTTTATTTTATTGGTGTTTTCTGCAAGTTAAGGAACTCCATACATTAATTAAATATAGATATGTTTTATTTTTATTTATTTTTTATGAAATGCTACATGAATTTGAGTGTCATCCTTGCTCGGGGGCATGATAATCTCTGTATCGTTCCAATTTTAGTGTTTGTGCTGCTGTAGCGAGCATGATTATATTTTAAATTTAATAAAAGAATGGTTTGATGGAGAACAAACCTACAGGTTCCTTGGCCTTAAAAGTGACATCAATAGCAGCCGTCAAAAACAGAATAGAGTGTGGCCTGGGTGTTTGCCTCCGTTGGTTAGAGGATCATCCCAATACACCAATGTTGCAGGTTCAATCCCAGTCATAAATGCAAAAATAAGTGGAACAATAAATCTAAATGAATGTCCCTCCCTCTCTCTCTTTCTCTCTTTTAAGTAAATTAAAAAATGTAAAATATAGAGTATAAAATATAAAAATATATTTTATAACATTTCTTCTTAATGTCAAAAGTAATATGTACATATTTTTAAATATTCAAGCTTTACAGAAGCATAGAAATATAAATTCTCCCACACATACCTCAGTAATTATATTTCATCCAGAAAGGTCAGAAAATAATAGATAGCAAGCAGATAGAAAAAATATCTGCTCATGTACTAGTAAAGAAAGTTATTCATGTTGCTTTAAGTCATTATTTACACTCAATAAAATTGAACCTTTTAGGAGGATGATTCATACTTTTGACAATAATATTTGGAAGAGTGAGCACTACACTTAAGATAGAGGTCATTTCCATCACACCAGCAAATCCTCTGGGACACTTCTCTCCAATCAGAGCCTGTCTCCAGCAATGACCTGGTTTTCCGTATCATTGTGTCGTTTTGAGAATAACATGTAAATGAAATCATATAATGTGAAGCCTTTTATGTCTACTTCTCACCCTTCACACATTGGGATTCTTCCATGTTGTTGCATGCTTCAGTATTTATTTTTATTGTGGAATAATAGCCCTCTTAATAAATATGCCAAAATTTGACCATTCACCAACTGAAGGACCATTGGAATATTTTGAGTTTGGGCACCGAGGCTAAAAGAAAAGAACACCCCAAGAATTTTCACCTGAAGTCCTGGCTGAGCCTGGTTTCCGTTGCCAGGGAAGAGCTGGGAGTGGCAGTGCTGGGTGCAGTGGCCAGTGTGTTTGGGTTTATGAGAAGCTGCAAACATTCTCCGAGCTGGCTGGAACATTTTGCATCCACAGCGATGATGTCTAAAAGTCCTAGCTGCTCTGTGCACTCATTGGCGCTTGTCATTTTTATTCTTTGATATTTGAGTGTATTGGTTTCATCTTTATTGATTCCTTAAAAACCAATGGATTTGAGCATTTTTCCATATCTTGGTTGCCATTCATATATCACCTCTGGTGAAGTGTTTGACTTGGGGAGGTAAATAGATAATGCAATATAGAGATGGCATATTGTATAATTGAATACCTGAAATCTGTATAGTTTTATGATGTCATTCCATAAATTCAATTAAAAGTAAATAAATAAAACATACAGATCCTTCAAGATTACATGAAACAAAGCATCATGGGCCCATGTTCCCTAAGACTGTGTGTTTCAACATGTTTTTCTTCCTCCCCCCTCTAGGTGGCAGCACTACCACCAGGGGTCAGTGTGGATGACTGCCTTTGAACCTATGGGAGATAAGGCTCCAGCAAAGCTCTTTTCTCTGTAGAGCAAGTGTACTTCACATAGTTACTTCCTGTTACATCCCCAGCCAAAAACATAGGTGACTTTTGCTCATCCTTTACTACGGGTCCGTGCGGGAGTCCTAGAAATAAAACTTATAATAGCCTAACTGGTGTGGTTCTGTGGTTGAGTTTTGACCTACGAACCAGGAGGTCATGGCTTGATTTCTAGTCAGGGCACAGGCCCAGTTGCAGGCTTGATCCTCAGTGTGGGGCATGCAGGAGGCAGCTGATCCATGATTCTCTCTCATCAATGATGTTTCTATCTCTCTCTCTCTCACCACCTCTTTCTTTCTGAAATGAATAATATATATATTTTAAAAACCTGTAATAGTACAGAGGCTTTCCTAGGACTGCATGCCCCCAGAACTTTCTCACCCTTAAACTAGTCCATGTCATCAAATTATCATTTCAATATTCCTGCGACTTTATGCCTCCAGCAGATTGTGCTCTGGTTAAACTGATGTCTGCTGGGATCCCTGCCTTTGATTATTGGTCCAGATCACAGGGTGTCTCTGTGCCCTGCGGCCTGACCTCTCTAATGGGCACCTGAAACGCCACTGGAGGTCAGTTTACCCCGCTTTCCCCTTGCTGTCCCCAGGCAGCAATGCCAGGCCGCTCTTCATGTGTTAGAGCTGCAGGCACAGTGTTTTCCTTGGCAATACCTAACCTTTCTGGCCCGCTCCACCCATACTGATCAGGTGGTAGTAGATAGTGCTTCTATTTATTTTTTAAATTGATTAATTCTTTAAGACAATTTGGGCTCAAGCCTAGAGGAAGCCCTGATTGAATGCATGTCACCGGAGATTTGAAACCAAGCTCAATATCATTCTCATTATGTCTGGCTTCAGGAGTTTCAGAAAAGCCATTAATTTTAATAAGCAGTGAGAGAAACAACATCAGGGAACTAATCAAGTGACACTGTGGACATATTATTTAGTCACAGTGCGTAGCATCAGAGCACTGCTGTGTCTTTGTGGGATGGTTATTTACACACACACACACACACATACACACAGTCATCCCTGGCATATAACTGTTCAAATAATGCCACTTAAAATCGATCAAGGTAGCTGGATTGGTGTAGATGCTATCATAAAACCAGGATCACTGCTCTTTTCCCTGTTTTATTCTTTGTCTAGATCTCATTTAGATGCCCTGCCCATTAAGGAAAGGCTATAAGCCACCTGCCACTTAGAGCATATTTAGTAATTAGAGAAAAGCAAAGTGCCACCAGAATGCAAATGCTCTTATTGATAACTTTATTTAAAATATTTTATGTGTTATTTTTATTTTAAAGCCAAATATGCATATATTTACTGCCAGCAAATAAGTGCCTCTTTGGTGTCTTTGAATCAGTGATTCACAGCCAGAAGCTGTTACTTCCACCAAGGGGACACGCAGTGTCTAGTGACAATCTTGGATTTATACATGTTACAGGTGTCTCTTGTTGCACAATGCTTTAGGTCAGTGGTCGGCAAACTCACTAGTCCACAGAGCCAAATAGCAACAGTTCAACGATTGAAATCTCTTTTGAGAGCCACATTTTTTAAACTTCTTCTAATGCCACTTCTTCAAAAATAGACTCACCTAGGCCGTGGTATTTTGTGGGAGAGCCACACTTAAGGGGCCAAAGAGCCTCATGTGGCTCGCGAGCTGCAGTTTGCTGACCATGGTTTTAGGTGAAGTCATGCAAAGTGTGTTTCCAAAGCAGATGAAATCTGCTTATTGAGATTGATGAGAAACCTACTATAACTTTCTAAGGATCTTTTTCCATCTATGAATTGTATGAAAACATAGTCTTTAAGTAAGGGGGCTACCATGAATCACTTACTCCTAGAAACTACAAAAGGAGCATTTACTAGATAATCTATGAATGGTTTGGATTGAATGGCAAGATAAATACATGAGTGAGTTGTTAAAGTATATAGATATATCATAGACATAACTATTTTCTTCTCTGCCAAATCCTTACTTGGACATTTTGCCAGTATTTTCTTGAGGATATGAATTATTTTTTTCTATGTTATTGAAGGGCTACTCAAAAGGTGCGTCCGGGAGTCTCTTGCACAAGAAATAGGTATATCCACAAGTGAGATGGAAAGCTTCAAATAATTTTGCTCTCACTGTTGGAGTGAGAATAACCTAGGTGATCTGAGCAAGCACCGCTTCTCCTCGGGCTACCAAAGAGCGGGCACCGCCAGGCAGCGAGGTGACTGAGCTCTAGAGTAGCAAGCCCCTCAGAGGGATACGTGAATGAATTGGTTCGCCTTTGGTAGATTGCGAGAGGGAAAGGCTGCCACAGAAAGTCAGGTAAGGAGAAAACAATGAAGGTTGTAATGAACTCTTAAAGCCCAAAGACGGGCGATGGTGACAGTGTAGACGGCCGCGTGCCCTAGAAACAAGCTTTCATTGGGCGCCGGGGAGAAAGGCTGATGAAGGCCGTACATCAGACGTGGCCCCTGAGGTGACACAGACAGACATGTAGGAACACACTGTCACAGGGGGATTGGTACCTCCTATAAAACCACGCTTCTCCTGCAAAGAGTTGAGAGCCCTCCCCACCACTGGTCCAGGCAGTGGTTGATCATTCCTAGTAGATAAAGGCAGAAAAAAGGGAAAAGAACAGAGAAAAATAGGAAATAAATAGCAAGAGAATAAGTTTAAAAATAAAGATATGGATGATCATGTTAAATATATTTCCCAATCCTACAGTTAAATGAGAGAGATTGTCAGGTTGAATAAAAAAAGCAAGAGTCAAGCATATAATACTATATAACATATAATAATATATAACATATAATAATATATAACATATAATAATATATAAGTATAGATTAGTATGAAAAGCACCAAAACAAAGATAGGCAAAGCTTGCCAGAAAAACTTAAAGCAGAAACCATAAATGTATCTGGTAACAGAAGTTACAAAGGTGGAGCCCTAGCTGGTTTGGTTCAGTGGATAGAGCATCCATCGACCTGCAGACTGAAGGGTCCTGGGTTCAGTTCTGATCAAGGGCACATGCCTGGGTTGTGGGCTTGATCCCCAGTGTGGGGTATGCAAGAGGCTGCCGATCAATGATTCTATCTCATCATTGTTGTTTCTATTTCTCTCCTTCCTTCTCTCTCCCTCTAAAAATCAATAAAAATATATATGTTTTTTAAAAGTTAAAAGATGGATATATATGAGCCAGGTATTGAAAAAGAATTAGACTGGAGCTTAAAGTTCAGAGTTGAAATATCACCTCTGTGCTTACCACTTGTGTCACCCGAGGGAAGTAATGGCTTTCTCACTGATGCTCAGTCTAATTTCCTGTAACACAAGTGTGAAGACCTATTAGAATATTTTGAAGATTTTCTGAAATCAAGCCTATGAAGGTTCTTAACACACTGCCATCACCAAATAAATTATGTCTTTGTCAGCATTGCTGGTG